CTGCACGCGCGCCGCGCCGGCGCGGTCCCTCACCGGACGCCGAGAAGCCCCACTGACTGTCGGGGCAGGCGCCAAGGCAAAGAGAGACGATGAAGGGGCCCTGGGACACCCCAAAAATTATACACAAATAACCGGATTCCCTATATTTTCCCATATGTTCTGGGTTTTTGTCTTCCCCCACACTTCCCATATGTTCCCATATTTTCCTGGGGATCGACGATGAATTGTGTCTGTGTGTTTGTCCCCCTCCTGAGACGAGAGAGAGACGAGGACAGAGGAACAATCTTCGTCAGCGGCGACTCGGGTCCAAGACGCGGTCGGGACAGCCGAGGAGCACGTCGGAGCCCAGCTGGGCACAGCAGGACAGGGCGCGGAGGGGGGAGGAAATCGAGGGCGGCGGGGCACGCTCAGACCGTGAAGGTACAGGCAGTCGTGCGTGTGCCAGAGCATAGGCATACACGGGCAGCAAGAGTGGCAGGGCGAACTTGCGTAACGGGGCGCGGCAAGTTCGTGACATGCCGGGTATCCCAACTCCGAAGCAAGTGATGACACGGGGACAACCAACTGCATGAGCATCTTCTTTCGAAGTCCGCGCGGCTGTCTCGGATCGGCGCTAGGAGGTCTTGGGGGCATGCTGGGTGCCTTCTGGCGGCGCGCACAAGGGGGGGCGCGAGGGGGGGGCCGTCTGAGAAGGCGGCGCGTTTCTTAAAGGCAGGGGCCTTCTCAAAGGATCTGGAAGCTTCTGAGAAGGTTTCTTGGAAGCTGGGAGGGCTTCTAAGGAGGATAAGAAGCCCCCTGCCCGGGCCGCGCGCTATCGCAGCGGGGCCCTGGGGTTTATAGCCCTGCCCATGGACGTACGGCGAGATGCTATCCTGGCGTCGCGCCGCCAGCGCCGTGAGGCCCCCGCCTTCCGAAGCCCCCCGCCTCCTCAGAAAGCCTCCGCCCTCGCGCCAAGCCCCCTGGCGCGCGCCGCCGAGCCCCCGCTGACGACCCCCCAGGACAACCCGACGGGGCCCCTCTCGGGCCGTCGTGGGGGCTTCCTGGAACGTCCTGTGGCCCTCTTGGGTCGTCGTGGGGACCTCCTGGCGCCCTCGTGGGCCGATCTGAGAGAGGCCCCTCGGGCCCGTCTTGGACTGGCGGAAGCCTGCAAGACGAGAGTGCCAAAATCCTCCGTCGAATACCGAAGGGGCATCAATGATCTTTACATGCTGGGGGCGTCGTGGAGGGGTCCTCTTCGGGCCCTCCTGGGTCGTCTTGGAAGCCTGTCTGATCATCTTGCTGCCGTCTTGGGCCGTCTTGGGACCGTGTCTGCGTTGTTTTGTAATGTTTGTTCCAAGTAATGATCGGATGCGACCGCAGTACTGTGCCTTGAACCGCTCCAGCTCCGCTCGAAGCTCCGAGCGGACGAAGCTCTCAAAACGCTGCTGCCCCAGGTCTTGCAAATCTGAAAAAATAGCATCGCCCTGCCAGCAGGCTTGAAACACCTTACGCTGCGACAACTGAAAGTATGCAACCACGTCCGCTCCTTACTAGTGAGCGTCGTACTCCTGCACGGGTGGAACACGCTGCGCCAGCTACAAGCCGCCCCCCCCTAACGTGGCAAATCTCTAACTTGACCTGACTCACACCCTGTCGATACTGCGCAAAAGCTAACCTGGCCCGTTAAAGCTAACGTGACAAAGTGCCAACTGTATCTCTAATCCTTCTTCGCTTCCAAGATCTGGCCGGTGCTGAGGCGAGAGCAACTTTCGCAATCATGGATGTGGTTGGCGCTGTGGCGGGAGCAACAGTCTGAAACATGAATATGGCCGGCCCTGAGGCGAAAGCAACCTTCTCAATCGTGGATGTGGCTGGCGTTAAGGCGAGAGTAATTCTCGTAATCGTGAGCGTGGCCGGCGCTGAAGCGAGAGCAACATTTGTAATCATGGACGTGGCTGGCTTTCAAGCAAAAAGTAACTTTCGCAATCGTGGGGTGGCCGGCGCTGAGGCGAGAGCAACATTCGCAATCGTGGATGTTGCTGGCGCCTAGGCGACAGCAACACTCGCAATCATGGATGTGGCCAGCGCTGAGGCGAGAGCACCGTTCGCAATCATGGATATGGCTGGCGCTGAGGCAACAGCAGCCGTCGTAGTCATGGATGCGGCTGGCGCTAAGGCGAGAGCGACGTTCGCAGTAACGGGTGCGGTCGGCACTGAAGCGAGAGCAACGTTCGCAGTCATTGACGTGGCCAGCGAAGATGCGAAAGCAAGATTCGCAATCATGGATGTGGCCTGCGATGCGGCCAAAGCAACATTCGCGACCATGTGGCCTGGGTTTAGGCCAACACAAACTCGATGTAGTGGATAAGGCCATTGGTGAAGCGAGAGCATCCGTCGCAATCGTGGGCGAGCTGTCCTACTGCACACGCGCACTGGCTCTAGCGCAACCAGCAGCACCACTGAGACGAGCAGCACCAGAAATTGCAGCACCACACACACAAGCTTCAACACCTACGCCAACAACAGCAGAAATAGTAATGCAAGCCACACACGCGACACCAGCACTACCTCTTTGACCAGCACGACAGCTAACCAAACCACAGCGACAGCTAGCAACAACACCAAACGCAGCAGCACCAGCGTCACCAGAAGCACCACTGTATCGAGCACGACGGGGAGCAACAACGCTACGCGAAGCAACTCAAGCGCAACCAGCAGTACAGGTGTGACCAGCACGACGGGAAGCAGCAGCACTACACGCACCAGCACACGCGCAAGGAGCAGCACGGCCGCGACGCGCACGACAGGATGCAGCAGCACGACACGCCCCAATAGAAGCACCACCAACAGCACCACTGCAATCAGCACGACGAAAAAAAGCAACACCACGCGCAGCAACACAAACACCACCAGCAATTCCACCAGAACGAGCACGATGGGAACCAGCAGCGCCAGTTGATTCGCGCTCGTCGACTCGAACGCCCCCACCCCCCCAGAGGCCAGACCAGCGGGGGGGGAGGCGTTCACTCCAGCGCAAAGCGTCATGGCCCAAATCGTTTTTGTTGCGTTGGGGACCGCGGCGCCCCAGAGCAGAAATGCGCAGTCCGTCCGCGTGAAATTTTGCGAACCCCATCCCCAAGAGCAACTGCTCCTCGGCCCAAGCCCGAACGGCCGCTCCCAGGGACCGGATTGCGCCAGCCCGGGCCTTCAGTAGCAGCGCGAACCAGGAGCGCCCAGGCGAGCGCGAAGATGGTAGTGACTCGTCGTGGGCCCGCCGTCGGCGCCCGCCGCCTGCCGGCCCCCAGCCCGGACAGCAGCTCCAGCGCCCAGCACCGGCGCCCTGTCCAACCAGCAGCTCCACTAGAACGAGCACGACGGGAGTCAGCAACGCCAGCCGATCTGCGCTGGACTGCGCGGGCGCCCCCATCCCCCCGCCGGTGAGGCTGGCGGGGAAGAAAATTGTCCCCGTGCTCCAGCGCCGAAGAGTCACGGCCCAAGTCGTTCGATCTTGCGCTGGGCACTGAAGGCGCCCCAGGTCAGAACAGCCTGTGCCACAGGAGCCGGCTGTTCGCCCTTCGCGCCGCCGCCCCCGCGGCCGGACGGAGATGCACACGACGACCCGCGACGCGTCGGTCAGCAACACGAGCGAAACGAGCAGTTCCACTGTGATCAGCCCGACAGGAAGCAGCATCGCCAGCAGCAGCAGCAGCAGCGCACAAGTGCCACCAGTAGCACAACCGTGGGTAGCAAGACAAAGGCAGCAGCACCAAAGCCACATGCAGTGCCACTCCGCCAAGGCCTGTCGGAAGCAGCAACACCACGCGCAGCATCAAGGCAGCCAGCAGCAGTACCGCAAGCAATCTCAGCGCCACCGGCTAACGGCTCCACCAGCACCACTGCGACGAGCATCGCGAGAAGCAGCAGCACGCCACGCAGAAGCACCAGCAACTAGCAACTAGAAATACCAGCAACCAGCAACAGCACCAGCAAGCCGGCGAGACCGGCGAGGGAGCAAGCGCCCGTGCCCCAGCTCAAAATGTCACGGCCTGGATCGTTTGATTTTGCGCTCGACACTTGGGGGCACCCCAGACAAAGATGCGCAGTCCGTCCGTGCGAAGCTTGGCTGGGAGGTGCAAGCCACACCCTGGAAGCATCCGCTGATCTGCCCAAGCCCGATTGGCGGTGGCTCCCAGGGGGAAGGGTTGTGCCAGCCGGGGCCCATAGTAGCAGAGCTACCCAGGACTGCCACGGCAAGCGCGAGGACGGGGCAATGGCTCGTCGCGGGCCCTCCGTCAGCGCCCGTCGCTTGCTGCTGCCCGTCCCAGCCAGCAGATCCAGCGCCCAGCACCAGCGCCCTGCCCAGCCAGCAACGGCGCCGAACCTGGCCAGCAGCGGCCCCTGGGCAGCGCCCTCCCACCGTCGTCGACAGGGAGCCCAACGGCTGCCGCGATGCCGGCGTCGCCATTGCCCGCTGCGGAGGCGGGCCGCCACGCGTCGGGCGTGCAGCAAGAAAAGTGCGAGCGCAACGAGCAAATTCCACTGTGACAAGCACGACAAGAAAACATCAGCATCACTCGCAGCAGCACCAGCGACACCAGCAGTGCCTGTGTCAGAAGCACGACTAGAACTAGCAGCACCACCAGTGCGACCAGCCCGACAGGAACCAGCAGCACCACCAGCAGCAGCGCGAGCGCCACCAGCAGCACTGCAATAATGCGACCAACCCTGGCGCCACTGGTGGCGCCTCTGTGACCATAACGAAAGCAAGCAGCAGCACAACGCACAGCAACACTAGCGCCACAAGAAGTAGCGTCGTGACGAACACGACAAGAAGCAGCAGCGCCACACGCAGCACCACTGGCGCCACCAGCACCACCAACGTGACCAACACGACAGGAAGCAGCAGACCCACGCAGCCCAGCATGAGCGCAACAAGCAGCACAAGTGTGATCAGCACAATGGTAAAAAAGCAGCACAAGCCTACCAAGCAGTACCACTGAGACCAGCACGACGGGAAGCAG